CCACCATCCACAAATTCATGTCCGAATTCCCGAATGAAAAAGTTTAATCAACGAAGTCCACTCAGGCACTGACAGTTCTAGGGTATTATTTCTATGTTTAAATAAGGGAATAGTTAGAGATAGCTTCCTAGTGTAGTGGTAAGATATAATGTCGCTGTCATGAGGAACTGGCTGGTTCGATCGTGCCTTTAATAATTTTTTTTAAGATTTCTTTTAGGTACCCACATTAATTGACTTTTTCAAAAATCAATTTGCTTTGATCTCAATGTCCTGCGCAATATTTGTATTTGTAAAAGTGGTGGAAACTATTTACATCAATAAGGAAGACCTATTATGCCGTTGGTCTGTAAAGAATCTTAAAATGCTTAGAAATCACTGTTTAGATTGCTTTTTCGATTATTTCCACCTCGTTTGTCAAGATATCCGATAGATATGTTGGGACATGCGTTGAAATTCTGTGGCGTATATTTAGTCGTATTGATTAAACATACCCAGATAAACCACAATAAAGCAATCGAAACATTCTTTACATAGCTTCAGCAAAAATCGGTGAAAATTGGCCAAAAACACAAAACGATTGTTGGTACTGTCAATTGATTTAGGTATTTTTCAAGTAAACTTCAATAGGCTACTGTAATAATATTTACAAAACGTTTGGATTCTTCCTGCACGAGTTATTGTTGAATAGAACTTGCTGACGTTTCGCGAATCATCCTGTTAGTTTCTTCAGAACTTTACTGAAACTGACCCACATTCTACTCTGTACCTTCTTATAGGTTGTTTGAGGGAGTAGGTTATCAACTCTTCTTGTTTACAGAGCCTTGAAACTATTTCAGCTCTAGTCACCGAACCCTAAATTAAAATAATTTTTTGGCATGGGCAAGATTTGGAGTCTTCGGAACGGCCCTGATCAATCCGGACTCAGTGCACGGTATTGGGCTAAAGGAGTTCCTGACCTTCTGTAGGAGGGGCGCCATTCTGGACGCCCTCTAGAGCGATCTAGGGGCACAACGGGCCCATCTGGTGACCTAAGTGCTTGGACGCCCGCGGGGGCGCCCCTTTTTAATACCAATACCAATACATATAATTTCCGCATGAGGTGTATTTTGTGATGGAATGCTTAATTTCCATCACAAAATACACCTCAACACAACCTTCCAAAGACAGTGCGTCCGACAACAATCCCACACTTGCCACTGTTGTCCTTCCTTAAATTCAAAACATCACTGACCACATATCAAAAGTTCTTAAAAAAATATAACGTCAAAACAAGAACACTTGTCCAAAAATCTCTCAACATCTTCGATGCGTCCAGAACAAAATTTCGCTTGGGATGCCAGGAGTAATCAATTCTTCTACCAATGAACAATTCGAGAATATATAAAAGTCTATAAGCAACCAAACAATCTTAACCGCAACTAAGGTCTTTACCTTTCACCAATATGGCAATCCTCAAACAATAAATAAACAGAGTAGAATGCGAGTCAGTCTCAGTAAAGCTCTGAAGAAGACAACAGGATGATTCGCGAAGCGTCAGCAAGTTCGATTCAACAACAATCGACGCAGGAGCAATCCAGAACTTAGTTGGGTATTTTAAGGAATAGTAACTAAATGTTACTACTAAAACCGCAGTCGAACTCGAGGCCAAATTTACTCAAAATTGAATTAGAATTTCGAAAATATTTGTTATTTTTAAAGGAATCGGGTTCTTTCTTGTTTCTTTTAATATTCAGTTGAAACTCCACTGGTAATCAAAATATCTCAAAGCACAAAATTAATTTTTATGCTAAGTTCTTTGGAATTAGCCTGGAATTCGACCGGAATTGCACAATAATTTCACTGCGGCTTACCCCTTCGTTTTCTGTAAACTGAAGTATTATTTTCTACTAAATAATGAATCAGAACATGTAAGAGTAGCACAGTAATACTTGTTTCTAATTATTCTGATTCTTGACTGTGAGGCCACAACAAAACTATCATCAACGTAGAGTTTACATAATAAATAATTTTAATGTTAAACCTTTTTTAATTTTTGTGGTATTAATTATTTAAAAAAAATTATATCGAATTTTTCACGGGCACAGAAATTATAAAATTCTTTTATTTCTTTGGATATCCATTTAAAAAAAAATCAGTTGGTCTAGTTCGTTTTAAAAGTTTCCGTAGACGATGAGTCAAATTTTCTTTTTCAAAGCATTCGTGATTGAAATGGGTTTCTTTAAATGGTACGTTCGATACAAAGACGAAGTATAATCTGACAGATGGGTCAATATTCTCTCCGAATGGGATAAGTCTGTATAAAAGTTGTCGTTTTGAAGTCTTAGTAATAGGAGAAGTCTCTAAGAGGCATGTGGTATTCTCTAAAAATATTCACTAGTGACCTGTACCTACCAATACAACAGTCAATAATGCATCTAATACACTCATAGCAACAAATTTTACTTAAAGAATAAAAATAGAAGAGAAAAGAAATATCCGCAAAAATAAGGTACGAATTATAAAACATTAACATAATATTACAGCAAAATCAGCAACAAGAGCCAATTAATTGGCTCTTGTTGTATATTTCTAAAAAAAGAAAAAAAAAGGAAGCAATGCTGATTTTTTTATAATGACAAACAATAACACGAAATTAGAAAGTATAGGAAGATCAAGTGCAATGTAGTGATTATAATATATATATATATATATATATATATATATATATATATATATATATATATATATATATATATATATATATATATATATATATATATATATATATATATATATATATATATATATATCTGGGGTTATAGCGTCCTGCACCTTCCGGTTCCCAGTCTCCATTCTCGGCGGTCATTCCAGTCACCTGGTCAAATTTCGTTCTGACATGGCTCGTTCTATACCTTTTTCCCACGTTATTTTAGATCTTCCCCGTTTTCTATTTTCTCGAGGCCTCCAACTCATCATTTTCTTAGGTATTCTTCGGTCATCCATCCTTTGGACATGGCCAAACCATCTTAATTGGCGCTCTTGCATATCTTCTACAATTGTTCTCTTTACTTTCATGATCTCTCTTACTCTTTCGTTGGTGATTCTATCGCGTCTAGATATTCCACCTGATCTTCTATAAAAGTCCATTTCGATGGTATTTAATTTTTTTTCTGTTGTTTTTATTTAGTTGCCATGTTTCACATCCGTATAATAGGACATTTTTAAAGACGGTATTATATAATTGGTGTTTCTTATCTTTACTTATGTTTTTCGACCATAAATCAGAGTTTAAAGCTCCAATAATTTGTTTTTCTTTTATAAGCCTATTTTCTATCTCTCTCTCAGTCCGTCCGCTATGATCCATTACTGTTCCCAAGTATACATATAGAATGATTATTATTTCATTTAATCATTTTAATTTAATTAATTTTAATTTAATCATGAATCGATATTTACAATATGCATTATCGGAGTTCTATCAATAAACTTTGTGAATTTAAGACAAAAAACATGTAAGCGTATATTTTATTTAGAGTATTTTTATGTATACGGGGTGTTCTGCCAGGACAGTCATCAACTTTAGTTTTTTAAATGGAACGCCATGAATATTTTTAAAAATTTTAATTATTCGCCTGATTCTGAGTATTTCTTGTCATTACATGGCATACGAAATTTTAAGTAGTTTCTGATAAAATGTTCCATTTTGTTTGCGGAAAATCAGGTCTTTGGATAAATGTGTTTTTTTACACCGGAAAACTAATATTAGGAATTTTTATTATGATATATATACAGGATATATGGTTATATTATACAGGGTTTAACTTTGTGAAAATTGAGACAAATAAATAACGTTAAATTGTGGCGCGGTAATTGGAGAGATACTAAATACTGTTCCTGAAATAGAACAGCCAAATTTAATTTGGCAACAAGGTGGCGCTCCTTATCATCAGTGGATTTTTAAATAGAAATTTCAGACAATGGATTGGGCAAAATGACTCGGTCTGGAAAGCAAGGAGTCTGGATTTAAACCCACTGGACTCCTTTAAAAGAGGTGGTATACAAAAATATACCCATAGAAGTTCTTGCATTACAACAACAAATTCGGGATGCAATTAACCAATTAAATGCGACTAATTATATATTAAATACAATATAAAATAATAAATTTTATTTTGAAATGAAATGAAATAAAATAATCTTTAACTTTTAGAGTATTTTAAGTAAATAATGAATTGAGGTTTATCGCCCGAGAATCGATGCAAATCGTCAATAAATTGTGTATCGTTGGATTCGAAGGGCTATCCGAAAATGGAAAAATATACAGAGTGTTTCATTTTAAAAAATGGGATAAGTAACAATTAGCGAAATATCGCAACACTGCTAATAAAAGTATTTCAATTTTGAATATCGTCTTAAAGAAAGTATTATTTTCCAACATATGTTAGGCAGAAAAATGTTTTAAAAGTTAATATGCAACGTTAAAAATTTTTTCAACATAAACTGAATCCCGAAGATATTCGATAATAACGGTGCATTAGATACAAACCAACTTTTGTATTCAAACTTTTTTTATAACGCTCATAGATTTAGAGTTTTCGCAGAGCTTTACTGCTTTTTTGTGAAACGAAAGATGATCTAAACAAATTTTTCATTACTCGTTTAGTTAGCCACCACTCGTATCTCGGGTAATCAGTTTTTTGTAAATGGTTTCGTCTTTTTGAAAAGAAATCAAGCTTGTTTTTTTTTTAATGGAATACCCTATATCTTAGAGGCCAATTTGATTCCGACCAAAACAGTGTACGTTGAACTCAGCATTACGGAAAAGATCCTCTATCTGTTTTACCCATTTATAACCGGAATCAGAATTATTCAAAAGCACAATGGTACGTCTAAAACTAATTTGTGTTTTCTCGGATGGAATCTTCATTACACAGCTAATTGTCAGCTGGATAATTTCGACGTACCAAATTCCGACTAAGTCCTTTGGATGCATACTCACCGTTGCAGGTATTCCTTTGCACCTCCTTCTTCTCGTCACCCAAAATCGCACTCACACTAAACTTCAACACCGGTTTGTTGTCTTTGATCAGGCCGTCGCTACCGAACCGGCATTGGAAAAAGTTACAGTCCAAACGGCCGCAGTTGGAGCAAATCCTGTTCCTCAAGCACGTGTTGAACCTGTTCAAGAACTCGTTGCTCTTCTCCGCGGGCGACAGCCTGTCCAGTTGGTCTTCGAGACCGTCTTCATCGTGCGCCGGAGACTCCGGGCTGTACCCGTCGCGTTTCGACCCGTCCTCCACCAAATCCTCTTTCGCTTGATCGCCGAGGTCCAACTCCAAATGTTCGGGCGACATTTTCCCGCCCGCCAACAGATTATCCATCGAGAACGGGTTCTGGTTGTTGTTCAGCGTCTTGAGCATTTTGCCGCGGTGCGTCATGAAATGAAACGTGTTCTGAAACATGTTCTGTGACGTCACTGTATCATCGTCCGGTTCAATTTACGACGAGCGCGCGGATCGGAGGGGAAAGAGTCGGAAAATCGGAAATCTGATGCGCGCGGTGCGAACGCTAGGTTGATCCCGTCAGGACTGATGTATTTGCCGGCTCTGGGCCTCCCTTAATGTTTAAAAAGGGGGTTGGTCCATAGCATTGCGAGGGGTGGAGTTTTCTTCGTCCGTCTTTCGCGCGACTAGAGACCGTAAATTGCGCTTTTATAGCGCAATCTCGATTGTTTTTTTTTTTAGGTGCCCGGTTTTATTATATTGCGAATGCCGGGGTGCGAGGGGTGTGGGGAGGGGGTTACATTTTGAATGTAGCGTGTAGTAATAATTATTATTGCCGCCGCTACGCTCTACGGTTTTGAATTCTCAATTATTATTATGGTCACCGTGTTTATCGTCGATTTCACTATATTTTATTGTCTTCATTCGCTTTATCTTACTGTGATTCACGTAAATTTTGGAAGCATATTCTTCTAAATTTTTTGAGTAAAAGAACTCTACTTATCGTAGAATTAGCAACTTAATATTCGCTACAAATCTCCTTTGTTTTCTAACCATTTTCAATGTCCTTTAAAATCAATGATAGTTTATCTTTTGACGAAATCGAGTGTCTTTTTTTTCTTTGATTCATATTTTATGGTTGCATTTAAAGCACGAAAATATTAATTAATTAATAAATAGAAACTAACAGTAACAGTAACTATTATATTTAACAGAAATTCATTTCAATACTGGTATCAGAAAACACAACATTTGAGGTTATGTTGTCGTCGACAGCTGATTTTATTTCTTACTGGAGTATACTTTACTCAAATATTTAGTTTTGGTTAGTTTACTTACTTACTTACAATAACTATAGCACTAGATAACGCACGTAATTTGATAATTTTACAATAAAATAGTAAGGCATGAAGTTTATATCTGTTAAACATGGTCAGCCAGCCTGACCATCTGAGATTTCTACGTCGAACCCCGTACACTAGTCTAAGGCAGGAGTTTTGCATTTTTTGTATAAGAAACTTCTCGATATGATCTGTAACACTATTATAAAATCTATTTAAATCTGAAGTAACAGAGATATTCTCTTCATGGATGCTTTGTTCAGAGAAGGAATGATAGATCTGAGTATCATCTCCGTAAAGATAAGTAATATTTGATATACCTACAAATTAAAATCGAAAATAGTAGAGGGCCCAAGATATTGCCTTGAGGCACTCCCACTCTCCGGCAATGGAGTCGAAGCTGACTCGTCAAGCACCACAGCTTGTGTCCTATGAATTAAAAACGAAGAGATAAGCTCACATTTCGCTGAATCGGATGTAATCTAATACTGAGACGAGGATTTCAAGATTTATGATATCATACAATTTACTGAGATCAAGCAAAATCAATACAGTAGTTTTGTTTCCATCGTGACCTCTAAATATATCGTCTACCACATCCGTCAGAACAGTTTCATAACTATTAACCCGATCTAAACCCTGACTGTTTTGCGGGCGGCATGTCATAACTCTTTAGAAAACCTCTTATCTGGTTTACCATGATTTTTTCCAGACATACTAATAATATACAAATTGAACGCAAATGATTAAACTTGATAGGGCTCTTTATTTTAGGCAAATGTATGAATTTATTCTCTTCATTTGCTTTATTTTACTCTCATTTTTTTTACTCTACTTATTGTAGAATCAGCAACTTTTATATTCTGTTCAAATGTCTTTTGCTTTCTTACCATAACGAACATGCTTACATCTACCTATGGAAAATATTTTTTATAGGGTGGTCACGAATGATCATCAGAAAAATGTTTTTCGAAATTTAAAAAACCCAATTTTTTTAAATGGAACACGCAGTATTTAGCACTTTTATTGAGTTCGGGATTTAATGTACCATTTTATATATATGGCTTTTATTACAAAAGTTGGTAGTTCATAAGTTATGGTCAAGTTTCTGCAACAACTCGTGCATTTCATATTAAACTAACTTAACTTTTATAATATCCTATTGTAACTAAGTTTTTTTAAAACATTAATACAATATAAAATCAGCAAGTAATGCAAGTAAATTGAACTTATTACTAATTAAAAAACATATTCTACATAACCTCTATCTCTGGCAATAATTTCATCTTTCGCAATAGTCTTTCTACCTCTTTTCGAATTTTCATTTTTAAGCCTTGAACACTATTACATCTACTTTTATACACGTTTTTATGCAGCTCCATAAGAAAAAGTTCAGGAGTCTCAAGTCAATCAAGCAATCCAAAATGGAAAACGTTAATTTGAACAGTTTTGAACAGGCACTATGGTATGATATTGCGCACTATCTTGTTAAAAAACAATCCCTTCTTTAATATCGTCCGACCCATTAACGGTTAATGGAAATATGTATATAAGTTCTCCAATAAATTATAATATCTCTCACCATTCAGAACAAAGTCATAAAATACTCTTTGTAACGAACACGTATAGTAGGCCCACCTGGACGTACCATCGTAGGCCCAGACCGCTGTGTCAGTTCTGACGCGAGTGTCAGTCGGTAACGAGTTGATACAGAGATTTTACCGCGTATAACCGTTTAAATTCTGTTTTCATCCCAACAAACTGTTCCTACCCACTTTTATAATAATAAATACTGTTTACTTGTTATTCGATCACCTATAATGCCACACACAAACACTTCTTTTATTTGAGATACAAAAGTATTGAATATTATTTCTATATATAAATAGTTTTTTTTTAATGTAACATTAGGGAACAATAAAGAAGTCTTGCTTGAAAGTTCTGTTGCGATAATTTCTAAACTGGGAAAAATATGAAAGGTTGGTAGTTATTGAATTTGAACGTCATTTGAACACTAGTCTTATATCCAGTAGGTCTCGCGATGTACGTGATGAATTCTCATTGTTTCCTACAAAATATACAGGAGAATTTCTAATTTCTTTTTCGATTATTGACTACCGCTCCACGTCTAAGGTCACGAACAATTCGTGAAAAATGTATTTCGTGGATACCCGCCTCGAAGGATACAACAACCTTATATTCTCTTAAGGCTAACGCTGAACTCTTGCTAAATGCCAAATTGAAATCACACATGTTTACGGGGTTAGAAAACGTGCTTTAAAGAAAACTTAGAATAGCATATTATATATATTTAGTTAGATTTAAAATACACGAATTGTTGCAAGAAATTGGCCATAATTGCTTAACAACCCATTTTTTTAAAATAAAAGCTATACATATTAAATGACAGAATGATACCCCTAACCAAATAAAAGTGCTAAATGCAGGATGTTCTATTAAAAAAAAACGGTTTCTGAAGTAGATAGAGCAAAATTGACTTACATGTCAAGGGTTCGATATTTGAGAAATGGTTAAAACCGCATGGCTATAACTTCACTACCATATAGGGCGTTTTGCAATTTTGCAGAAATATAGGGCATTTTTAGTTTATGTAGGCCGTGCCTAATATGTTCAAAAGGACGTCACATAGGAATTTTTAAAATTATTTAATAAACACTGGAACTTTAAAAAAGATAAGGCCAATTTAAAATAACTTAAGTGAAAAACACGAACCTAAAAAACCTATGGTTAATTTTATATATATTTTTAATATTTTTTGTATTACATACCAAAATTATAGTCATTTTAAAGTAATAAACCAAACATAATAAATATTATAATATAAAAAATCAAAATTTAATTCCAATTGGACACCGCCCTCTTTAATACACTATTTCGTACTGAATGGCTATACTATTCACTAACTCTATAAGTATGATGGAAGCAAACCCTTCTCGAGTGACTTTCTCTAATTCTGGAAAATTTTATCTTTAAATATAAGATCTTTTAAACTAGAAACAAAAGAAAATCTAGAGGAGTTAGATCATACGATCTCGCAAGCCACAGAATATTCCACACAATAAGGCGTTTTACTACAAACCGAAACTCAATTTTAAGTACTCGACGCGCGTTTCGCCAACCAAGTTGGCATCTTCAGGAGAAGATTAAAAGCAAACTTAATAGAACAGATGCTCTCTATATATATGCACATCGGGAAGTGGGAGAGGGAATTACGCACTGTTCACGCAACCAATCAGCGCGTATAATGGGCCAAATGAGATTGGACCTCTGTCCTTGTTCAGTGCCTTATTCCCTCTCTTAACAATTTCTAAGCTTTGGTAGGCATCTAATTTTCTACTATTATTTACATGTTTAACTAATTTAAAATTACTTATGATTATTGTTGAACATATGTTCGACTACACTTGATTTTTCTAATCTACCAAATTTTAAATGAGCCAAATGTTCCTTAAATCTAACATTAATTGATCTTTTGGTTTGCCCTACATATGACTTGTCACAATCGTTAAAACATATTTCATAAATTCCCGACTTTTCAGGGGTATCTAGTTTATCCTTGGGATTACCCAAGAGATTTTTTAATTTTGATCCGGCCTGATAGACACTTCGAAGACCTGCGGCCCTGAAGACTCTATCATGTCCACTTGTATATTGGGGAGAGAAAGGAATTGAGACTACTTTTAAATTTTCCTTATCGATATTATTAACTTATCGATAAAACTATCTTCATAGCCATTGATTCTAGCCACATTTTTTATAAGGCTTCTTTCCACCTCAAACCTTTCTTGATTTAAAGGAAATGTGACAAGTCTATGGACTAGAAAATTAAAACTTGCCATATATATAGAGAGCATCTGTTCTATTAAGTTTAGTTTTAATCTTCTCCTGAAGATGCCAACTTGGTTGGCGAAAGGCGTGTCGAATATGTAAAATTGAGTTTCGGTTTGTGGTAAAACGCGTTATTGTGCGTTAGTACAGTGCCGAAGGTTCCAGTCAAGAGTTTGATTGAACACAGAATATTCCGCAACAGTCAATTCTCGCTCAGACAGTCCAAACAATAGACAATGGGAAATTAATGTTCTCATTGCTTTTTCCGAT